GAGATTACTCGACGAAAACACCATCAATCAGTAGATCTAACAGTAAAGTTTATGTTATGATTCTATCAGAGTGATATAGAAATTTCTTTTAATGAAATTGTATTGTTCACAAGTAGTATTGTACTTGAACTTGAAGATTTATGCTTGATCAATTTATCTTAACTATATAAAACCAATAATGATTTATTTGTATTGATTTCAGCTGAGCAAATTATTCGTACAACCTTAAATAATGATGTCGTTTCAAATTGTCCATTGTACTCAACTTTGATGATGCTTCATTTCTGCTATTCATTGTTCATGTTTAACTCAAGTGTTAACTTTAAATGAAAGTCTTGAAAGATGAAACCTTGCCTTTAATCTGTTTATCAATGCCATATGTGTATATTTTTTATTTTTATTTTTTATTTGCTCTACTCGTTTCTTTTTTATCACATCAAACTGAAGCGGCTTAGCATTATATGATGTCATAAGGTATAATATATACCAAGTTTAAGATTAACTGATCCATGATATGTGGTTTGTTGATATTGATTACCATTAGAATCACATAATGTATATAGACTGTGAATAAGAACTTTCGTAATCAGAACAAGAACATGCAAATGAATATATGTCTATTGAACTCATATAATAATATGCTGTTGATATATAACTAAAAGCAAGTACATCAATAGAACCTATATCGAATGTGAATTATTTATTATTTTATTGTACATTGAAGAACAAATTTATTTTTTTCTTTCACTGAAAATACTTAAAAAAAAAAGGTCAAAAAGAATTGACATAGAAAAAGATTGGCATTGCTAGCATTAGAAATAACAAATAAAAACTATTCATAATCAATTCTATTTGTGCTTTTTAAGTTCACTTGATTATGTACATCTATTACTTGATTAAAAATCAACATATACAAGTAGTTCTTAATTGTAGAAATCGAAATGAGTATCAGACACACTATTTCTTAGAATAACACTAATAAATAGGTACTCTTGCAAATCTAACCAATGATTTATATTATATTCAAATAATAACAGATTTGTTAGGATCATTTTTTCAGATCATAAGAAAAGATCTTCTTACTATGAAACTCATCAAAACTTGCGATACACCGTAATTCTCACAGTTCTTGACTGATACAACGAATACATGTGCATTCAATTGTGGATAACTTTATTACAATAACATACTAGTATCCTGCATGGGTATGATTTATTGTATTTGGACCTGTGTCTGAATAGCTGTACCCAATACCCGACTGGAGCTAATCGACAGACGGTTGATCTTTTTACACTTATAGTACGGTTTTCAAACTTTTGTTTTATATGAAAAAGTATATTATTTATTTTCTTCCATAAACAGCACCAAAAAAAGAGATTATTTCAAATTCCACAAAAAAACAAGTGATTCAGGACTCAATTGGTATCCTTCTACTTCTAAAATTCGATAAATTTCGATAAGCATGCATTTTCTGTTTGCTGATGACGCTGAAATGGACCACAGTATTGATACGAAACATTATAAGTGCCAATACATACATGAATACTTTTTTCATTACGATAATATATATTCATCATTTTGATAACTCATTTTACTCTCCATGTAGTCAGTAACTTCGTCATCCGTAGATGACTCTTCATTAAAAGTGAATCTTTTTTGTAAGACAATATTGTTTTCCATTTCTGTGATATGTTCTCCAGTACAATGAAATGCTCAATCATGATCGGACTAGTTTTTACTCCAAGTCTTTTATATAAATTAGCTGTTTGAAATAGTAAAACTATTGTAGACTGTTGAGGTCTCATTAATGGATGGACCGGATCATGTTGTGAAATCATACTCAGTACCCGAATCGACCGGGTAAGTTTGGACTCGGACGACTGATGCCGTGGACCTGACCGAGTTGCAAGTCACTATTAGATATCTATATTCATCATTCCTTAGATTATTTATTGCATAACAATAGTCATAAAAATTCTACTAGTTATTGCTTGTTCATATGCTAATATTTTCATTCACCTTGTTTTCTTCCTACTTTTAAAATCTTATGATCTATGACTAAGTAAATAAACTGTTGCCATCATTAAATTTCTTAATATCATAGAAAAATACGTTATTTATCATCCGCTCACATATTTTATTTTTATTGTTGTTGTTTTTGTTGTTACTGATTCTTTTGTTTTTTTAACTGACTTAATGCTCCTTATAAGCACATACACACGCACGAATATTAAGAAAGACAAAAAAAAAGAATAACAATAGATCACCAGGCAAAAAAAAAAGAAAGCAACATGTATGAGAATGATATTGCCAATCTTATACATTAACCATTTCCCATAAACCATAAGTAGTGCCAACTGTATTTTGCCATAAACGTAATGTTCCATCTTCACTTCCAGATGCATAAACTTCACCATCAGGTGAATATGACATACAATGTATTGGACCAAAATGACCTTTGTATGATTCTATAAAAACAAAAATAGATTTTTCTCTAAGAAAGTTTGTTTGACATTAGTATTTACCAAGTTCAACACCCGTTTCAAAATTATATTTATAAATACGAAAATCTAATCCACCACAAACAAATTCACGTGCAGTTGGATGAAATGAAGCTGTATTCATTTCACATGGCATTTCAAATGATTGTAATTTATTTAAACTATGAAATCAAATTGATAAAAGAAAAATTTATAAACAAAAAGTAGCATACTTATTGCCGTCATAGATTTCTACTTTTTTGCCATGTGTAATAAGTAATAAAGCTTGATCATCACGTGAAATTTCAATACTATTTGGTGGTGAAGGGAAATCAATAGTTGATATGCAATTTCCTGAATCAATATCAAAGATTCTTTAAAATGAAAAAAAAAAAAAGATATTGATTAGATTTATTTCAAGTTTAAACTTACTTTATAGTCTTATCATCGGATGCTGTACAAATTCGTTTTGCATCCATAAAAATTGCTTTTTTAACTGGACCCGTATGACCATTAAAAACTTTAATCGGTTCTTCAAAAAAATAAAAATTATAATTAACTTTGAAATATTATTTTTTAGTAACAAATAAATAAACTAACCTGTTGGTGCAGTAACATCATAAATTTTAATTAATTTTTCATTTGATGCCGTTAACAACCATTCTTTATTTATTGATGAAAAATCAACAGAACGCACAATATGTTTATGTTCGAATGTTTGTAATTCAGCACCCGTATTTGCATCCCATAATTTTGCAGTAAAGTCAGAACCAGCTGTTGCAGCTAACTCAGCATTTCCTGTTATTGTTGCTCCCCACACAGCTCCTTTATGACCAATAAAACTTCCAATCCTAAAAAATATACCTGAAAAATTTGTCTACTAGAAAAAAAACAAAACATTTTTACCAATCGCCGGTATCACCTTCACGTAACATCGGTATACCATCTAGAAATTATTTAAAAGAAAAAAGTAAAATTAAAACTTGTTAGAATAGTCTCCTTATGACTAAAATATAGAATTCACATATATTTTCGTGCATTAAAACATTGTCTCACTATTAATAATCCATATATTAATACTTTGATTCTACAGTCTTTTCTTTGTTTTTATCTCTTTGTCTTCGTAAAATTTTCAAACAATGTTGTTCGCTATAGAAGTCCCTTATTTTTTCTTGCGTAACTACGAGTGATAGTAGTATTAAAATGATTGACTTTACATCTACGATTATTATGGAACCTTACTTAAAGACCTTCAACTCTGAATACTAACCGATGTTGAAGAGAATAGCATTGTAAATGGTGTAAAACGGCGAAAACTAACATCTTTGCGTCGCAGTTTTTTATAAACTCGTGAAACGATGATAGTATTAGGAAGAATGATGACTGCTTACTAGAGAAAAGACGAATTGAAAATTAATGAAGTAATACATCATTTCGAATTGTTTAAGACGCCGTTTCCGATGTTCAGAATATGTCGTCGTAAAAAGGTCTGTAATGGGGCACGAGATACCACAAAACCTTAATCAAAGATCTTTAACCGTGGTATATTAAGATCGTTAATGAGTAGCCGTGACACTGCAACTTAAAACTCACATTCAAAAAGCTTTTTTGAAAATATATGCAAATTCTACAAATTTTTATATCAAAATATATTAAGTTTTACCTTTACAAGCGCTTATAAGAAAGTAGCTGTATTTTGTTATATCACTAAAACGCAGATCAACGACTAAAAGAAAAAAAAAAAAAAGAAAAACATTTCATTTTAAGAATTCTCATTCATGTTTTAATTAACCTGGTCTAGTATGACCATTGCATGTAATAGGTATTTGACGGACACTTGTTGCTGACATAGTTTAAATTAAAACACTCAAACAATTAAAATAATATATAATGACTTTTATTGTTGTTTCTTGTTTTATTTTGTTGTTGAGAAAATAAATAAGATATTGAATATGTACAATGAATTGAAGTGACAAGAAAAACAAAAAGACAGATCAATATTTTAAAGAAACTAAAAATATAAACTTGATATTTCACTCTAAAACAAAAGATCAAAGAAGAAAATAATTACCTATTGTTAATAATTTTTTATCATCTAGAAAACAGAAGAATGTTATTTCTTTAGTTATTATAAATCGTCAATCAATGTTTATTTTATTTTTATTTACATTGATCATCATATAAATAGTTTAAGAATCCGAACAAAAAATAAATAAACATACACCTTTAAACTAAATGGCACCTGTCTGTTTGTTATACACAAAACGAACTACAGAAAAAAAAAATGCATGCACCCAAGAAACTTCTTTTTTTGTGTTTGATTTACTATTACATATAACAAACCAAAACTAAAAATAATTGTATAAATTCGATTTCGTTCTATGGTAAGAATGAATATTATGGAATAAAAAATAGTGGTATTTTTGTCAAAAAAAGAAACAAAAGAAAGGAAAGAAAAATGAAAAACATGAGGTGCACAGTGTTATCATTAGCATGAATAATGATATATACATATTTGCTCTAATTTTTTCCATTATAGACTTTGAGAGCTTTTTTGAGCAATGGTGTCATTGTTGGTTCTGAAAGATAGGAAAAAAACAAAGAAAAATTATTTTTTCTTTGGATATCATCCTGTGTCTTCAATACATTCTTAATTATCCTGTTTCGTCAACAACTTTATCTTCCTTTGGCAGAATGCAATCTAATAATTAAGCGTTTGATTGAAAATTTAAGGCTCAATTAATTAAGTACGCAATAAGTATTCATTGCTTTTAGAAAGTGATAGGGTACCAAGAAATTAAATCCCTATTAGTGTTTGATAGATCATGATCTACATTAATAAGTATATGAGTGGAGAGACATAATCACAGGTACAAGTGCATGTGTCCCCTCTTGATTGAAAAATTACCTAGAGGAACATACGAGTAAAAAAAAAAACCTTTTCGAAAAACAACACTTTATTTTCCTGCTGATGGACGTACACTTGGAAAAATTCTGGCTACGCTGCTATGTAGATGTGGTTCTGTGTGTTGATGTAAATGGATGTAGATCAGAGTTGCAACCGATCGAAAATGTTTGGCTTAGTCCAGTTGAGCTGGTTTGCTGGATCATTATTAACCGATTGACATAAATAGCTTCAGAAAACATTCATTTTTCTTTTATGCTCAGGTTTTTACAAACTTCCGAAAAAAAAAATATTATGTTGTAATCGTTTATATCTGTTAGGTTTTTCAAAGATAAATATTTAACATTCTATATATAGCTTGAATAAAACAACTATTTACTCATTAAACGATAATAAAACTTCAAAGTTTGAATTTTCTCATTCAGCCTTTTCAGACAACATATATGACATAAATTAAGTTTAAGTAATATTGTTTTGGTTGTGATTTTTACAAAAACGAAATATTATTCGACTAAAATATAGACAAGCGTAGATAAATAGAAGAAAACAAACCTAATAGTCCTTGAAACAACAGTGTTTGGTTAATTTGATAAGAGAGAGCAAGCTTCTTGTCAAAAGTTTTATCAAAGGAATGTAGTACATCTATAAAGTATTTTCCAACCGATGAAAGTCGATAAAGATCGGACGGTGTAAGCATTTCAATTGGTTCGGTTACAAACCCGATGAGGATGTGGGATTTAGATTCTTGGTACCCTTTGTTACTTGCGCCTTAACTTGCCGATCAAACACTTTATTATTAGAATACTATGTGTCAAAGAAAAATTATTGTCGAAGAAACAGGAGTTGAGACTTTTCTTTTCTTTTTCGATAACTTTAATATTACTTTTAACTTTTGTTTGTCCTCGTTGATGTTTTGTAGGTGGAAGATTAACAACTTGTCGAGCAACTTTATTTGAAGTGATACTATGACGGCTAGTAGGCTGACGTATATTAAGTGGTTTTGTCTGACGAGCTATAAAAATAAAAAAATCAAATTAGAAATTTACAATAATATAAAATTTACTTGTATCAATTGTTTCTGCCTTTTTTCTTCTTGCAAGTTCAGTGATTTGCTGTAATCGTTCTTCTTTTTCATTAGATTTACGCTATAAAATAAATAAATGTCAAGTTAAAATGGAATATTGTTTTATTTCTTTTTTTTTTTCTACCAAATAAAGTTCAGAATAACTTTCACATTCTTCCCGTTCAGCATCTTTGAAATGTAATGAACAAAAATGTTGCCATAATGGTTCAACATCATCAACATAGTCCTTGAAATAAAATGAAAAATATTATATAGAAATATAATAATTATGCATACTGGATTATTATCAATTATAGAATAAAGTTGTTCAGGTGTTGCTACATCAATAATTGGTTTGACTACGTCATAAGGAAGTCGAAAAAAATGCGTATGACATATGTCTACACAGAAGAAGAAGAAGAATAATACATTTAATTGTTTAAAAGTTTAGAGATCTTTACCATCAATATGCTCTTTAAGTGTTTCAACACAAAGATCTTGAAGTGATGGAATATTTGTACGAGAAGCACGTACACCAGAATAAATAGCTTGACGTCCTTGTTTTGAACGAAGAAAATTGAAACTTTGAACTAAATAGTAAAAAAAAATTTTTCTTTGAGTAATCTAAATAAGGAATGAACCGAGAGTTTAAGACAAAACTATTTGGTCACTTTTTTCGTATTGAAATCTCTTGGAAAAGCATGAGAAGTAGTGTATTAAAATTAGAACTTTGTACTCTTTTAGAATATATACTTAGAATTTTTCTGTGACTTTTGACTATTCAGCTGTAAATAGATCTTGATATGACTCAAAAAACTTTTTCTTGGGGAACTAGATCTATAATGAAACTTGCTTGGGACATGTCACGAAACTTTATCGAAAAATACAGAAAATAATTCTCTACAAAATGGTATATTTGAATAAAATCTTATGCAAACTGTTGAAATGCAGCAACAGGTTTTATAAAACTTATCACAAGAAAAATGGATATTCGTTCGATTTTTGCTTTTTCAGCGTGAAATAATTTCAGCAAATTTTTAGTAGATTAACCAGAACTCTCCATTATTGTATGATTTTGTAGAGTAGAGACACCTCTCAAATATTTCATATAGTCGTGTCTTCAGAAAAATAAGACTTTTGCTTCTCCAGAAAATTTTTTGAGTCTATTGAAAATTTAGGTATAGCTCAATAATCAAAAGTCAAAGAAAAGTTCTAAGAATATATTTTGAAAGAGCACAAAGTTCTGACTCTACTCCACCATTAACGCACTCTATTCCAATTCATTTAAATACACAAAGAAATAGTCAAATATTTTGTCAAGAAATTTTCGGCTCATTCCTTAATAATACCAGGTTTTTTTTGAGTAGTAACTGGTAATGGTTTTGATAAATTAGATGGTGGTGGTGGTGGATATTCTAAAGAAGCAATGCTTGATGTAATCGCTGCGACCATTGAATTATTTTCTTTTTTTTTTGTTGAAGTTGCTGATAGTATTTTGAACTAAAATATCAAATTATAGAATTTCTCATATCAAATACAAATTACACAAAAAACTTGTATAAACATTCAATGGCATTTATATAAAAAAAAAGAACATTAACATAACTCATATTGTTTATCAGTACCTGTTGATTATTATGATTATTATTGTATATTGTTTGTTTATTTTTAATAGATTGAGATTGTTTTGTAATCTCTTGTTTATGATGCGTATTGTCATTATCATTATCATTATCATCATCGTTGTCGTCGTCGTCGTCATCATCGTCTTCTGCCCAAATATCATTATTGGGTTTTTTGACTTGCTCAATTGTTGCTTGTTTTAAATTATGATTATTAGCAATGAAATCATTTCGATTGTTATTTATTGTATCATTTTGTTTTAATTTTTTATTAACATTATTAGCAAGGTCGGGCGCACTAGCAGCCAATTCTTCATATTTAGCATCAAATTGAGCATAGATTTCTTTGATTTGAGTATCAGTTAATTTATCTTCAGTTGAATCAACTGTAGATGATGAAGATGGTATTGGTTTTTTACTAACAACATATTCAGCCAGAGAAAGAACTTTACGTTTTTTAATCGATGATGTTGATGATGACTGATCTCCATCACTACGTTTAAACTCATCAGATGATTGGGATTCACTAAAAAAATTAAAAACAAAAAAAAGAAAATAAATTTTATTTCAATTTATTTCTATTGCATACCTTAATGCATGCGAATATGTTACGTCATAATCATTAGATTTTCGTTTAACAGAAGGTTTATGTTCAGCGAGTGATTTTTTCGTATTTGTTATTGTCCTAACTTTGGATGTATTCGTTGTTTTTGATAATGAATTTTTATCTTGCCATTTTTTAAGAAGACTCTTAGCTGTTAAATAATAACTGGCCTCTTTGTTCGATGCAAGTTGACCAACTAGTGCGTCTATTTTCGTTTTCTAAGAAGGAAAAATAACAAAAAATTATTATTTTAAAATTTAATTTGAATATTACTCGAAGTAATTCAGGAGTAATCGATGTGTTATGTAATTTATGAAGATATTCTTCAACCTAGAAATTGAAATCAATTAACAAAATGAAACAAAAGATAAATTTACTTTATCATTTTGTTTCGAAGCATTATATTTTTCAAGTTTCTTTTTAACTGTTTCAATTGTACTGATGGCTATTTCACTGCTCATTGTTGATATTTAATCTCAGAAAGTATTCGAAAAAGAAAAGAAATTATATGAAATAAATAAATGTTTAAATACATGTGCCTTTATTAGTTTTGAGTCATGTTTAACAAAGTAAGTCTCTTATGGTACAAATTGAAAGAACTGACGATAAACTTATATTTGGTTATTCCCCCCATATTCTATTTAAAACAAATAAATAAGTAAATAAAAGGAGGGAGGTACAACTAGCAGCAGCAGCGGTAGAAACATAAAAAAAGATTAGTTGATGATCGGACAAATCATCAGACAGAATACGAATACAACTTATGCATGATGTCGTTACTTGCTCACATACATCGATCAGAAATATTAACAGATATATAAAAAATATTTGCATAGTTTGACTAAAATATGAAATAATCAGATAAGATATCATCATTGAAATATTAGTAAATTCATGACTAGAACCGTTGACTTTGTTATTTGATTTTTCATATACTTTTTATCATTGGTGTTCCTTTCGTTTTAGTATTTTCATACTATTGTAAACATATTGATACTATTAATTTTTGATATAAGACTAGCCTAATAACAATACGGTATAAAGCATAGGCATAACTGCCTATCTAAATATGTTTTTATCTTGCTTCTAACCATAATTAATGCTACACTCGAGTTGAGTTACGACAGTAATATTTAAGAAGTGAAAAAGAGAAATTTCTAAACTATCGAAGAAATCTTTGCAAACCTATGAAAGTTCTTAAAAAAAACCTGCGACGGATTTTCACTTGTATGAATTATCATTATCAAAACAGTGTAGTCTGTAGAATATTTTTATATGTAGAAATGTATTCATTCCTACCATTTTATACATGCAAATATGGATATCAAATATATCATGAATAATAATCCGTAGTTTTGATTTTTAAAGTCGTCGAGTCGAAGGGAAACTGATAAGGAGTTTGTATTCCTAATCTTTTAGACACTTGCTAGAGGAAGATTTGAAACTTTCAATCACAATATTGTCGATGTATACTCTAAGTGTTGATTCGTCTAACAAATGTAGCTAACAAGTATTCTTTGCATTGTATTCATATAATGTTTCATATGAAGTATAAAATATTCAAGGAAAGAAAATATATCCATACGAGGACGTCTTAAAAAGTCATCTACCAAACAAAAAATAATTTGCATACTGTTCATCATGTTTTAACTCATGCAGCTAATATTTTTCTCTGATGATAGAGGAAAAGTCCAAGTTTTTATTCTCATGATAAATATGGACGAGTAATGTCCAAAACTATCACTGTTGACTACGATACAAAAATTAACTTGTTTTCTGACCTACAAGAACATTTTATGCCGAAGGGTTCATATTATTGAAGCGTGTTAATAGAGCTATTGAGTTTTTATTGAATTTACTTCCGTTGGATTCGAAGAGGAAAGAACGGATTTTTGTCGATTTTAATCGAAAATAACTTGAAAACAATCAAAGGCTCTGAAAGAATACTAAGAAAAATTCGAAAGAAATCCGTTAGGACTCGGAAATCCGTAGAAACTCGACTCCACTACTTTCGTCAATAAGATCGCATACTTTTAACAAAATTTTATTACGAAATTTTAACTTGAAAGTTAACTTAGACAAAGCTCACATGTAGACCAGTATGTGTGTAGAAAATTTCAAAATCTTTGCACGTCGTTTCTTCTAGATATAATTATTCTATAAAGGCAGGCAACATAGATGGTTTTGAACATTGCTTATCAATTTCTCTCTTAAGAATAAAAATTTGTATCTTTCTTCTATTATTAGAAGAAAAGATTAGTTGATTTGGTTAAAATAAAAAGGAGATATTCATATTTCTTTGTGGCGGACGACTTTTGACACATTTAATATTAATAGAAATCAGTTTGAAAAGAGCTCAATACTTTATTAATTTCAATCTTAATATATTGTTCCGTTGACAGAAAACAAATATCATAAGATTTCAGTTTGGCTACAAGAATATCAATCATCATCATCATAGATATCAATTTAGGAATTTACGATTTTGGTTATATATTGCTCGACACGTTATGATACGCATCACATGCAGGTATAATACAAAATTAAAGACTCATGTCTATAAACATTCTATTGGCTTTATGAATCTTTTTAGTTGTTATACCATATTTTTTATCTAATGAAATTCCAAGATTTACAAAAAACCATGTGAGCGATCGACAAAAAGCAAGAGCAGTCTTATCTCGGTGATTTTATTTGTTTTACGTACATACATACATATATATATAAGGTTTTTTCTATCCTTGAGTCAATTATTCTGTTTCCAATAATTTAAATAAACTAGATGGCATAAGTCCATATCATAGATGACATCTTTTGAATCAAATTGATTTTCAATACTATTAATTTATTATGTTTCCTTAGCTAAATCGAACTCAAAACATAATTTTCTCAAGTATACACAAAAGAGTAAACAGAAAAAAAGGACTTAAGATATATGTCCTCTTTTCGAGCAACTTGTTTTGTTTTATACGCAAAATACAATCACCTATGTAAAATATATGAGAACGTATATATAAACAATCGTAAGGTTTTTTCCTAGTTTTTTTTGTTATTTTATACCTATATCAAAAGAATGTCCAATGTTACCTTTTACGTCATATAAAACATGGGACTACTATCATAAAAAATATCTAGACATTGGTGTTATTTTTCCAATAAAATGTTACTCAATATTTTCTATTAAAAAGACTTGTAGTTCTATGATTAATTGATATAGCTGTATCTCTTGTAAAATACCAAGCAATTTTGTCTTATTTATGTGTTACTCATTTCTATTCTTTTTTTTTCTACTTCCCTTGTTTATTTCATTCGAAATATATTATATTTGTATTTGTTTCGGTGATTCATGTTCGTATTTCACTAATAGAGAAATAATGATTTCTTTTGTTTTAAATACTTTCTCATAGAGAAAAACGTGTTTTCGATTGTCTCCTAAATTGAACTGGAAAAACAAAACTTCTTGTCTTGATCTGACGACATTAAAATCAAACGATCTTATTTTGTTCATTATAGAAACATCGAATTTCGTTTCAATACTAGATATTTTAGACGGTAAAATAATCATGTCATCAATTGTAGCTGGCATCGAAATGGGTGGTACAGGATGTAAAGTAGCTATCAGTGATGAAAATGGACAATATGATAGTCAATATTCATTACAAATTCCGACAACAACTCCTGAAAATACTTTACGATTAATATATGATTGGTTAGCATTGAAGAAATTAGAACGACCATTTGTTGCACTTGGTATTGCGTGTTTTGGACCTATTGATCTAGATAAAAAAAGTAAAACCTATGGATTTATTACAACAACGCCAAAACCTAATTGGCAGAATGTAAATGTCGTTGGTACTTTTCAAGATCTCAATGTACCAATTGCTTTTGAAACTGATGTTAATGCACCAGCAATAACTGAAGCTGCACGTCGAGGCGATACATCACTAGCCTATATTACTATTGGAACAGGTCTGATCATCCAAATTTATTGCATTTTCAAATGTTGTTGTTTAATTGGCTTTTTTTGTATACAGGTGTTGGTGTTGGTCTCGTTATTGAAACTCGTCCTGTTCATGGTCTAATGCATCCAGAAGGTGCTCATCTGCAATGTAAACCTTTCCCTCATGATGAGTATGAAAGTAATTGTCCATATCATAAATCATGTATTCATGGTATGTCAAACGCAAAAGCTGTTGCTGATCGTCTTGGTATTTTACCAAATGAACTTAATAAGGTTTCTGATGATGATTCTGTATGGAATGTACAAGCATATTATATAGCACAATTATGTGCAGCAATTATTTATTTAACATCAGTTCAACGTATAGTTATTGGAGGTGGATTATCAAAACGTAACTGTTTAATTACACATGTACGAAAACACGTTCAAAATATATTAAATGGCTTTTTGAATCTACCTGCAATTACGGAAAATATTGATGATTACATTGTTCCTTCAAGGCTTGGTGATTTAATTGGTATACAATCAGCTCTTGATATAGCAAAAACTGTAGTATAGAAAAAAATCATTTTTTTGATGTAAATATTTTTTTTCTTTTGTAATAATATTATTCATGAAAATACGGTCTTTTTGAAAAAAAAAGTTTTTCTATTTGAATAAAATAAAGTATATAAAAATATTTTCATGTTGCTTTATTTGCTTTGCAACCGACAAGAGAGAGTTTGAATCTTCTTGAGTATATTCATTAAATGTAACTAAACATTAAATAGGTAAGAATGACTAAATGAAAACAAAAATAGAAATTTTTCGAACAATACAATACATTATTAAACAAATCATCGAAAAAATATAAAAGAAAATATATATTTATTCAAAATTCACACCTTTTTAAAACTTTAGTAGTTGAATTATGTTCAAATATTTCTGATTTTTCAAGTGATGTCTGATTATCTTCTTCATCACTATCATAAGGCCAAATATATAATGATGGTGAACATGGTGGTGTCGGTGGATCAAAACGAAGGCCAATATAAGGCTCATCCCATTTTTTTCCTGAATATTTTGATCTTGATGTTGTTGTCAGTATTGTTGATAATGTCGATGGTTTAGATTTATTAGATAAATGTTGACATGGTAATATTTGACGTTTTCGTTTTGATGCTGATGGTGTTCTTACTAGTCTTTTTTCTGATGATTTTGATCGTGATCTTCGTCTTCTTAATGAACGTTTTCTAAGTAGTGGCTTTTCTTCTCGTGATGAAAGTTTTAAAACTTTTGTTTCTATTGGTTTTATTGGTTTTTGTGCATCAGATATTTCTGCAATAATTTGACTCACACTTTTAAAATGTAATCCTGATGATGATGTCGATGATGATGATGATGATGATGATGATAAAGATTTTTTTCGAAGATTTTTTTCATCATCTTTATCTGTTGATGCTAATGGGATATTTGCTGTTGGTTTTGATAGATTTGTAGAAGAATTTATTTGAATTGATGATGGAATTAATGATGATCTAACAAATTCTATTGAAGAAATTTGATTTGTTAATGTGCTAATATCATCTTCTTCGTTTGAGAATATTTTTTTATCAACTATAGCTGTTGTGGATACTTTAGTTAGACTACAACTACTTAGTAATGTTGATGATATTTCATTGCTAGTTTGATGTCCATCATCTAAAGATGGTGAATCACGAAGAACAACAAAATGTGTTTGACCAGGAATTGATTGTTTACATTTTGGGCGACTTAAATCAGTATCCGAATCAATGGTTTCTTGTCTATAAAAACAATTGATTTCATATAGAAAGAGAAAATTTCAACATACCGTCGTCTTTGTGCATGTGTTGATGTCCAATATCTTTGCCAAGAAGTTGATGTACTTGTTGAACTTCTTGTGAAACTATTTGATGGACGAAGAGGTTCTGGTTTAATTGTAATATATTTTGAAAGTGTTTTGAATACATGAGAGCTTTGTATATCACTATTACAGAATGATGGTTGAGATGTAGTATTTGTTCCTCCATTTCCTATTGTTGTATCTTTACTTGCATTGCGTTGTTGTTTAGTTTTCAATGATCCATGGATACGAACTGTTGTTGTACATTGTCGAGATAATTGTTGATACATAACTTTTCGATGTACACTATACGGTAAATTTGAAGCATCAAGTAAACGAGACGAATTATGACCACAATAATTAATCCATCGTTTTGTATCAATTTTTTTTATATGTTCTGCTTCAGTAAAAGTGTAATCACTTGAGAGAAAAATTGGTAAATTCAATTGTTGAGAATTTAATTTATTTCGTAGGCTTTGATTATTTGCAGGAAAATGATGCGAAACAGATGGCTGAAACTTTATAATGTCGACCATCGTTTTTACATAAGAGAAAAAAAAACCTAAATCATGGCAAATAAATCTTTTTACGATGTTGTTTTATCGTCGTGTGGATAAGAAGTGGCTTTTACATCAGTTGCTTTCTTTTTTCTAATGTTCTACGGATTCTAACAACATAAATGTTTGCATTTATGTTGTCAGGTAGACACTGATAGAAATCGTAACACTGAGTAAATACATGCTTTACACCGAATACTCAAGTTGTTATCTTTAATGTTTGAATGCATTTTTTTCGCTGTACATTACTGTTTGTGGAATAATATGTTCATGATTTGTTTTCTTTTTTCATTCATAAATTTTATAAGATGAAACTTATACTGATGAATTTCGCAGCAGTGGACAATTGAACCAGTCGATGGGGGGAAGTTGTTCCACTTTATGGAGAAATGCTTCACCCCACATAAAGTCAGACACATCAAGAAGAAATGGAAAGCAAGAATAAAAAAAATAGATATATATATAATCTATTATATAATGTTGCACATATACTTGAATTAGGAAGAGAAATGGTTTTTCTTTCAGAGGAAAATGGTTCGACAAGGAGAAATGGTAAGAAAAAATTTAAAAATATAAATATATATACAGACTATTACATGATACTGTACATATACTTGAACATGACATACTAGGAATATGCACCAATCACCAACATTCCGACCCATGAAGACAAATTATACCTCTATTGTTCGAAATATATTTTCATCAGGTAATCATTAAAAAGAATCTCACCCATATCTGTTAGCAGATTTCCATCAGATAAAAAACAACTACTGATTTCTCTTTGAATATTATCCGTTTGTTCTTATTAGTAGAGAAATAGATGAAATATTTCACCTGATCTTTTAATTCGTTCTCCTTGAAAAAATTGATCTCTCCTAGAACATGTTCTTAAGACAAAAAAGAAATTTATATATTTTTCAATATTTTTCATTTCATCTTAATAGTAAAAAAAACCGACGAAGCACCCTGCAGAAATATTTTCATCATTTCTACTAGTGAACATCCATATATGCTGCAAAATCTTAGTAAGATAAACTGTAACTCTTTCCCACTTCTTCCGAATGCAGACATGATACGCCATTTCTCTCCAGAACTAACCATTTCTACTAGAAAAAGTCCACTTCTACTAGAAACATTCCTTAAGAAGAAAAAATAAATTGATCCATGTCTCTCTAAGCTTTTTGGACTTAGCCTTGTCAATGGAGATATGGATGGAGTGGCTCTCTTCGATATTGTTGTTTTACTCTCGAAATGATGTGGTCGAGTGAAGGTGGTTTGTTTGTGAAAAGCGTTTCCTTCTGACTTTTTGTGGTTGAAGCATTTCTGCTTGAAGTGGAACAATTTCTCTTTGATAGAGCGATATGGTCCAACCCTCGAATTTCGATAACAAACACAACAAACAAATTTTTATTCAAAAAAAAAATATACATTAAATAACGAGGTTTAATTTATCAAACAATTCTTGTACGTTCATATATTCACTAGATGTTGGTTGAATAAGATTTGTTTGATGATTAGAACTACGTTGTCTTGATCGACGATTAGAAAACCAAACACGAACTTGTTCAATATCAATATCAAGATGTTCAGCAATAATACGACGTTGTGCTAATGATGGATATGGTAAGTGCATAAAAATTCGATGAAGAGTAAATAACTGTACAGGTGTGAACCGATGACGATTAGGTACAACCATTTTTGTCGTCGAAGCCTAAATCAAATTTAACAAATAATTTGAATTTTGATTAATCCTACAAAACTCACTTCTGATGATGATGGTGATGATGATGATGAGACGTTGATAGCAGGTGCGGGTGGCACAATAAGAAAAGGATCATAGAAGAAAATTGACGATGGTAGTGGAGGAGGTGGCTGAATTGTTGATGAAAGAAAATGAAGAATAAACGGATCGACAATACGAGGGGATGGTTCATATGATGTATTCATGTTTGAATATTGTTTCATTTTGATATCTTCTTCGTTTTATACTGTTCTTACATTTCTTTCAAATTGATATCATTTTGGGAATGATACACATCAATTACTCATTCGATATGTACTTTATCAAGATCGTTCCTTAATTGATATGATTATTCTGTTATTGGGATGTGTAACCAATTAATACGATAGCTACATTTGAATCATCATGGCGCTTCACATTTTTATATTTTCTTTGTTTAAGTATTACAAAATTAAATGTTTTTCAAACAATCAAGTTTAACTACTCGAAAAATTCATTTATTACCAACAATTAATTCAGCTTTACCATTATTTGTCGCTATTTTGATTCTATGTAGTGCAACAATAATTCTCGGGTTGGTTATTAAAATATTTCTTTTTATTTTATTTTTAATTATTCAAATAGATTTATTTGCTTTTGTATTCGTTTTGTTGTATGTCAATGCATTGATCGATATAGTGAAAATTATCAAAGAAATTTATTTAAACAACAAATACATGAATTAGCTTTAGACCCAAATATTTATAGAATTGTTCGTTGATTTTATTCAAGAGTTGTATCATTTTTTGTCAAACATCGTGCATTAAAAACAGGTTTGTTCTGATCTAAGAATTGTGTAACACCGTGTTTTTTTTTTGTAGTTGTCTTAAACTAACATTTTTGTTATTCTTTGTACCACAGAAAAGAACAAGTTTTGTAGCATTAAGAAGATTTAAAACTTTTACACGTGTTGTAAAAATAGTTATTCAAAGGAAAAAAAGAAGAAAGAGAGAAAAGAAAGAGAAGAATTAGATTATATGTATAGGTGATAGCAAGTGAAAAGTCATTCAACAATATCTGACGAGAAAACTTCTGTAAGTAGCTAATTGCTTTTCGACCAAGTCAATGTTTATCTGATGAACACTAATGATTAATAGAAAAGTCTAGAATGATTTGGTGTTTCAAGTGTTCATTGTTGTTATATCGAAAATTTACTAAATATCTCAACGAAAAGTTGTAGTGTCCTTTGGGTCAAACGAAGATTCGACTTTTGACTTGAAACACTTTGTTAGAACACAGTTATCAATGAGATCTGCTGATTGAACAAGTTGTAGCTTTGCTAATATCTCCTATCCTAAAGTATTCAATATTCGAAATTTTCTCATGTATAAAAGCGAAATTTGGCTCATATGTATACGTCTTCGGAAGGAAAATACTGAGAAAAGCTAGCAACTTGTACAATCTACTAATTTCATTGAGAACTTTGTTTGTGGTAAATGTAAAGGTGAAATTCGAAAGTCAATTTCCCATGTATTGTCAGGGGGATATATATTTTATTGATAAATTCAGTAAAATTTCAATGTTTCAAGAACATAGGCTCAGAAAGCCAAACTATTTCAGGCTTTTTCTGTTAGTTATTAGTACTCTTTAAACGAATGTCATCTCGATCGAAAAGCAGTTTGATATCTGGGAATACTTGCTTGTTAGCGGAGCTTTAAACATATATGGACAAGTCGGATACAATCAGATGATACGATGCATAAACTAAACAGGTAAATTCATACGTTTTCTTTTTATTAACAAGATACAGAACAAATAACATTTTAGGTCGAGATAACAAAGAAACATTCAATTGTCATTCAAATATACAAGCAGAGACAGTAAATGGTAATTTATCTTGGCGTACCAGTACTACCAACTCCATCAAGAAATGAAAAGAGGGATTGAGATGGTGGCGGATTAACAGGTACTCCCATTGGATCTCGATTTGTCATGCCTGGTTTTTGATTTTTACGTTCTTGTATTGCTGCATTAAGATCTTCGATTTCATCAACTTTGATATCAATTTCTAAAATAACAAACTATTTAAATTGATTCGCCATTATCGATAAATCTTACTTGTCAAAGGTCGACGAAGCATTATAGATCAATCTTAGAAGAAGACACAGAAAATAAGTATATCTATAAAAGTAAAATAAAAAAGAATGTTAAAAAAAAACATACAAAAAAAAAACCTAAAAATTATTTTTTATTTAATAAAGACATATACAATTGTTTTTCAATGTCAATTGGATCTGTTGTCGGTTTCGGCAATGATGATGCAAGTTCACCAATTAACATGATAGGTTGCTAAGAGAAAAATCATTTTAATATTTAAAAAAAAAGTATGAGAAATGACTCATACCCATCGTATTTGATGTTCATGAAGACGTTTATGAAATGCATTTTGCCGTATGTTATGCATAGCCGATGAACAATATAATGCTTCACGATTGATTTTCTCAGTTTCTCTAACATAAAGAAAACAAATTAATCATCGACCTTTCTCTACAAAAAAAAACTGAAGTTTTACTTTGGAAAATCTTGTTCAATTTTTTCACGTAAATACTAAAACAGAACATCGGTTGTTATTAAAAACAAAAATAAAGCATTGCCTATTCAAAATATTCACTTGTAAATGATTATTCACTGCATTGGCTTCATCTAAACGACTAATCCATTTTGATGGTACCAGTACTTCATTTGTACGTGAATAAAAATCATACCATTCATTAGATCTATCAGAAATAATATTTTCAATGTTATCGTCTTATTTTCGTTGATAATAAATAACAATTTAACCTGTCATTGTTATTGACTGATTGTCGTTGATTTTTCTCTAATCTTTTCATACATGTTTCAATAAATCGTTGTTCATTCTCATTTTTCTAAATTCAACAAAAACCTTATCGTTTTCATAAATTCAAACATTAATTTACCATCTGTCGTTTCGACATTTATTTAATCTAAAAATAACAATTGAAAGAAACGGGCAAAAAAAAACACAAAAAGGTTTTCTCTTTTCTAACATAAGTTTCTTCATTGATAGAACTAACCAACTGAAAAACACACACACGCACATGGAACTGAGTGAGGAAAATCAAACTAATGAATAATTATTAATTAAGAAGGCCTTAATGTTTCTTTTTTATGATCAAGTTCACGTTTAGCTGTTTTGATTAATTCATCACGTGTATTCGCTTCTGTTGCATCATAA